CTAAATAATTGTGGTAGGCGTTGTGTCACCTAAACTTTTTACTATTACAATATGTTTCTGCGTATGTACACACGTCAACAAAATAAACTACCGCACAAAAAGGAGATGACAAAAACGAACAAAGCGACCGGCTAGCAGAGCGAAGACGACGTAGCTCCCTAACTACTTGCAAGAACAAAACTAATTGTAAAGAAAAATAAGACCAAGTTAACGTGACAAAAATCGAACGACCACAATATTTAGAAAATTAAGCAAGTAGGTAAACAAAATGTTCTTTTGGGGTTCACAAGAGGTCTCGTATAACCGTACTGGTTACGAACCTACTCGCACTACTTCCGTGCTACCGGGGGCAACTTTAACCCGCCTAATAGAGTGGGCTCTGGGTGCGGGATGCTAGAAGGATGGGTGAGGACGTAACGAGGAAAGTGAAAATTAATTACGTGTACACAAAATGATTGTATCGGTTGATAAATTCCCTGCATGCTCGATGCTCGGGTCTAAAAACGGTGTAACTCGGCCAATAAGTATCTGAACCATCATAGGCTTCATGGGTTTTGCTTTTTAAAAGCGGCATACAAAGCACTCTCGCTGGGTGCTTATGATGAGCGCCTTGAAGTTGGTAATCCAAAATTCTTGTATGGTAATATCGTTTTCGTCCAAATATGGCGGGAGTTTATACAGAGTATTTCGTTTCGCGAGTTGACGTGACGTAGATAAGTCCGAGATTTCATCTGTCAAAGGTTCTTGCTACACCAATTTGCATATGATGTATTCCACTTTCTCCTATTCTGCAACTGAAAGTTGTTAAGGAGGACGTAGCCTTTTGACATTTTGGTGTAATCGGATTCATTGCTCTGACCAACCAGGCTACTGTGCGTTGTAATTTCGTATATGTACTATCGTCTTAGAAAGTCGGAACCTTTGATCTATTTACTGTTACAACAAAACTTACGCGGATTTGACGGACGCGTGGCAATATCTGCAGAAAATTGTTGTGTTTGTACTCATCGCCACTGCTCTTGTGAAGTGGAACTAAGTATTTCAGCGATACGGAGACCAACAAACGCTTTGTACTTACGTTCGGACGAGTATAACCATTACAACAAAGTCTGTGAGTAGGTTGATCAATTTGGGCAGCATAGTTCCAAGTACAGCGGCCTGCAGACCAAGCTTTGAAATGGACTTTAGTTCATTATCCTTGTGTTACCCTTGTCAAAACCATCGTCAATTTCGTCTTTGTAAACTATTCGCGTGTATCCAAACGCAGCAAATGTAACTTGACTTGCATAGACGTAGATATGTAGCTCGCTTCTGCTTTTGTTAACATGAATAACCTTATGTTGCTAAATTCTTTCCACGAAAACATCCACTTTTGACCTAGAGACGGCGCCATCGTTTCATCCCCGTGGATATCGGGCTTCCACAAATCTTGAATTGGAAGCTTAAAAAATCAGCTAGCATTCCAACGGATCGGAAACCGCTTTCACAATAAGCAACAGCTCTTTTTTTGTAGGTATGTATGGAACCCGAAAGAGTCTTCCTTAGTGTTCCAGGCCCAAGGGATTCCACACTGAGTGTTTCACGTGTGGATATGGCGATTCGTTGCTCTTCAGTATAGTTTGATTCCCGATGTATTTGAATGATTTGACGGCTGATATATGTGGCTTGTTCTGGTGAATCGAAACTGGCAACCAGATCGTTGTTGGTCATCACGTATTATGTCCAAGCTGATCGGTTTCGCCTTTCCTCTCCAAGTACAGTTGAGCATGTTGATCGAACCCAAGTTAGGGGCTAAAGAATTTAACCATTTTAAGGCATGCCTGTCAAAGAGGCGACTAAAACCCAATAATTCCTGCGACAGTTGGGTCTTTATACTGGAATAACCCGGATTTTTTTTATCCGTCCAAGGACTGTAAATCCTGTAATATTTTGTGGTTACAACAGCAACAATAACATTGGATGTATTATGATTTGGGAGATCATCTCATTTGACATTGGTGAAATTGTCACAATATGCGTTTAGGTGGCTGGATTTATTCAGAAAGTTTTAGTAGTGCCGATCTCTAGGTCACATTATTGACAGTAGATGCTGCGTCAAATGCTATTGAACAAGTTTTAGTAAGGCCATATGCAACCAAGCCCAGTAAAGTTTTGGTGGCTATCGGACTCTCCTTATCGGCTTGAATAATAGTTGTAGTGACGCCCAAGTACGCTTGTTGAAAACCAATTAGTAACGATGTCTTCTTGTTGCAATCCTGTAATTCTGCAACGGCACATATTCGGAATGTTCCAAATTTTCTTTCGCAATTACTGTTCTTTCTTTATTACTATTTGTGCGTCTCTCAAAGTAAACTTTTCCTATTTCTATGTCGACAACTTCAGTCATATCATTGGAGTACGAGTCTTCTTCCAAAATAGTGATCGCTGAACCCTCTAGCTAGGATTTCGTATTTACCGTTCGGCCCGTATGTGCTGATCGGCAGCATTTTGAAAAGTGGCTTACAGTTTCTTAGGCGAGGTGGCATTTAAATACCAGCTGCACTTTAATCTCACACTGGACAATTTGTGGCATTGATGTTGTTGGAAATTCACCGTTGTGTAGAAGTTGATTATGGTAACGCTGAACTTCCGTTTATGCTGCACTGCTTCCTTGAGCAACATTTTCTAGTAATGTAACCCTTTCGAAAATAGGAAAAACACATTTGTTTGCTCTTTACAAACTCCGACCTGGATTGTACATCTGATTAGAATGTACGGCACTTTACAATTATGTGATGACCACTGCTAGGAAGACATCTTACCTTTCCGACCGTTCTTCTTTCTTGAATGTGCGTGACAATAGTTGGCATCAGTCACACAACTCTGGCCAACCCACTCGAGTGAATAATTCTATTGTGGCATATGATCCGGTTGGTGATTGAATATCTATTTATTCTGTATCTATTGTATATATTTGTCTAAAATATAAATTTATTTAGCAGTTGTTTGTTTGAAAATTAAAAATATAATCTTTAAAAAATTTAAATGTTTCAAATCCAAAATTTAAAGTAACATTAAAATTTAAAAGTTGAAAGTAACAAATTATAAATGTTTAAGAAAATTTCTACAGAATGTTTCTCCCATACGAGATGTTTATTTTGCTTTTATTTGTAACTGGTGAATAAATAAGACGTCTGGTCGAATAAATCTAATAGCAAACTCATTTAAAACGTTGGGCACATCATTTGTGTAAAGTAAAATTGCTGCTACAGCTTGTTTGGCAGGATCTAACAGGCACTTCTAAAACCGCATTAGTTTCCGGCGATGACTGCATCCGAAAGCTTCGGTAGCGTCGTTGAAGTTGGCGAAAAGCAGCGGCATTCTTCGGCAATACTGGCAAATGTGGGCAAATCGTAAAGCTTAACTCCTCCACCAATGCTCTCAAATCGTTTAATGTTGAAATCATTGCGCTCGTTTAGGCTTCTGCCCCTGAACGTAGATGTCCGGCTCTTCCACTATTGTGCTTTCGAAAGAAGATCCGCTTTCGCTTTGCCCTGTGTGGCTACTTCTACTTCGTTAAAAGTATTTGTCAGACTTTAACATTCAAAATAGTTACAATACTTTGAAAACATCACATAAATCCGTGCACACGAAAGCAGCGATTAATTGTTTTCGAAGAAAAAATTTATGAAAAAAATTATAAAAACTGTATGCTACATAATGTTTGACGGAATGAAAGTGATGTTATAATCAGTTTAATATATAGGAAATGTATATGTAAGTGGTGTTGATGATTGCTATGATGACCCCCAGCGGATTAGGGGTACAAGAATTTACCCGCGGTAAGGTATGCCTGTCGTAAAAGGCGACTAAAAACCAATAGTTCCCGCGACAGTTGGGTTCTTATACGGGAACGACCAGGTTTTTATCCGGCCAAGAACTGTCACTGCCGCAACAATCCCCAAAAAGTTGTTAGGGGAATATTTCTGCGGTTACAACAAAAACAACAACCGACCGTTATGATGTAATACAAATGTAATACAGTTTTTTGGATAACACCACTATATATAATAAATTTTGTGGCCGCAAGCCCAGTAACGGTCCAGTTACCAATATAGATGTATAATTAAAATGTGAAAATTAGAAAATATTTATTTCGCACAAACAGGCCAGGTCTGTAGCTCACTAAAAAGTTTATATTAAAAAAATAAAAAACAAAAGATTAAAATACTTAAATTTCACAGGGTAGCTTACCATAATATATCCGCCGCCGTGTTTAATCGTCTTCTGCGCGAACCCTGGATGATATTCTAGGCGGTTGAGATGATGATCAAGACTTTGCCATTCGGTCCTATTCTGGTGATCTTCGTTTCGTAGCTCCATAGTACGTGTTTTTTTTTAAATTTAGCCATTTCCGCTCTAGCGAAACGCATCCGCTTCACAATATTTTTATTGGACAGAAGTGGGGTTTTCCTGGAAACGGGCCCAAAGAATTTTGCTTCCTTGGACCACCTTCCATCACGCCTGCTTTATGTTTTTGTGTCCAGTGGTCGGCTTGGATAATTTTTTATCATTCTTATAAAGCACGTCATGACTTTCTTCCAAGGAATATTGAAAACTTTTGAAATTTTTTCCAAGTCCTGCACTTTCCATATGATTTGTTTTTCTTCAAAATGACAAATATCATTAACTTTTATTAAATATTACAAGAACAATACATGCGTAAAGAAATTTGGACCTCACAATTGAAAGACATTCTGCGGCAGCAAGTTAAGTGCAACAAGTTTTTGATTATGAAGAACCTTCAGTGGAAAATTTTTAGCATTTAGAAAGAATGTAATTTTGTGTCATTTAAGTGTCTATTACTGCAAGTTTATTTCATTTATTTATTATAATATATTTAACAAATTTTTTAAATTTTATTTTTATTTATGTTTTGTTTTATTTTTTTAAGAAACTCATAGTACATACATATTTTGCCGGATATAAGCAAAGAAATATTATTAATTATATTTTTACAGCGGCTTGGAATAATCATATAGTAAGCCTATAAGAGAATTGAGCTACATTATAAGCAAATGCTCAGCAGTTAGTTCAACTTGTTCCATATATTTTCAACTTTCGTTTTGTTCACTATAAATGAACACCAAGAACATACATGAATTAACTTCACATTTATGTCAAGCGCTAGATCAAAATTACGATGTAAGTAGTGCATGATGTTCATTACTTATCCCTCATATGACTCTAAAATAATTGCATTTAAACTCTATTGTAGGTGGTTAATATGGGTGCAGTTATGTTGGTTATATCCACCTTAGAGGGAACAACGATTACAAAGGAACAACTGGAGACCACCAGATTGGCAAAATTTATAAACCACTTGCGGCGTCGTACCAAGGATGATCATTTAGCACGTCGCGCTAAATCTTTACTCAAGAAGTGGCGCGAAATGGTTGGAATTCAGCAACAGCCACAAGTAATTGACACAACCCCTATAAATTTATCTGCAGCGTTACCGTCTGGATCTGGATATAGTACTAGCTTATCCCAACAGCAGAGGTTTCGGTCACAGTCTATTTCGCCAAGTGCTTCATCAATCCATTTTGAACAACTTCATTCAAATTTTAATAGTAGTCAAACGATTCCGGCGTCTACCATCCTTTCAGAACATATACAACATGCGACATCTGTTTCTACACATTCTTTGACTCCAATAGCAGAAAGTGCTAATCCGGTTACACATTATAATAAAAAAAGATTTGGGACATGTCAGAATCAAAATGAAACTCATATCATATCGAAGCAACCGACAAGTTTTGAGAATGTTCTCATAGGTTTTGGTGTTACAGACACTAATTTGAGTATAACAAGTGATAGTTCAAGATTTTGCAGTAAGTTAAGTCAATCTGCACAACAACACGTAATTCCGTCTGATAACACTGGGGCCTTCATAATTGATCAATCATCAAATTCAAACTCACAAATGAGCTTGATCCTTCCATCAAGTAATCGACCCCCAGTGCTTGCTCCAATTGTTATTGACATACAGGACTCGAATTCTGGCTCAGATTTATCTGCCTCCGTATTAAACGCTACACTTAACAGTAAAATGCCTTTGTGCGATCCAGGCAGAGCACAAAACGTTAGTTTAGCTAGTAGCCTTAGTATACCGGGCTTGCAATCCCAATTTCCATCGAAGTCAAAAAAGATTAAAAAGGAGAAAAAGCGTAAAGATAAAAGTCAATACAGTGTTCACGAAACTGAAGTGACCAGTAATGCTAAAGATACTACTGTCTTAGTGGATGAAACGTCTTCAAATCAAAATTGTCGCCTGCTATCTGAAGGAAATTCAGATAAATATTCGCCATTCGTCAATGATGAAAAATCTCGCTTAGCATATCCAGAAATCCTTTCACTTCTGGACAATAGCTCAATGAGCTCTATGTTTCCGCCAGAAAGCTCTCCAAATCCCGTTGATGAGCAAAGTAAAGTTAATTTATCTGCAAATGATAGTCTTCGCACAACATTTAATTTATCATTATCTGATTTATCTTTTGCTGGTAAATTTAAACAAGGCGCTGCTTTGTTTCCAACCAGTAACGAGTTAACTGGTTATAAATCACATCGACCAGCGTCGATTCAGACTGGACCAACGCCTTCAAAATTTGCACCGTTTCGGGGAGCTAGATCTAATTCAAACGACAGTAACAGTCAAGTTTCCCAACCGGATCTAATTGAAGTCATTAGTAGTGATAAAATGCAAGGCTTTCAAACTCAAGCAAAACAGGGTACTTTAAATTTGCAATATAAAACAGCATCAACATCAAGTATGTCGCAGCAACCAGTTGCAGCAACGGTTACAACTGCACAACAGACGAAGTCAATTATTCAAATAGAAACATCTGGTCCGGGAATTTCAAGAGTATGCGTTGCACCAGAACAGAAAATTCCAAGAAAACGAGGCCGCAAAAAAGGGTCTAAAGGTGTGGACTCAATTATTGCAAAAGAGACTAGTCTTAGCTCACAGATACTAATGACAACCTTGGGAACTGGGGGTAAAAAAGTCAAAACAACGAAAGAACTTTATGTTGAAATGCAAAATCGGAAGCTGGGTATAACATCTACTTTATCTTCGCCGACCTTAATTGGATTGCAAGCTCAGCAACAGCTGCAGGTGTCGCGTCCTACATCTTCTTGCTCAGGTATATTACAGCAATTTTAAATTATGTACACAAAAATAAAAAATCGCAATGGCTATAGCAGAAACAAAAACGTTAAACTAAAAATTCGTAATATCGTTTGAAATTTCTTACTTTTTATAACTACTTTGTAGTCATCACTTTAAATTCCAATTAATTTTTTTATTAGAGCCCTCATTACAATCACCACATATATTTGATCTATGCTCACCGAATGCTTCTATGTCCACTGTAGCCGCACGTTCTACACAAGAAAATTGTCTGATTAATCCTAATGCAGGTAGGTTAGAATCAAGTCAAATATAAATTCTAAATTATTGGAACAAATGTCAATATTTTCTGAATACTTTAAAGGTGATGGTGAGAGTACAAGTGAAACAGGCACCTCAGACCCCTCGCGTGACAGCTCTAGAATTTTTAAGCAGCCAAAACGTTCATTGTCTATTGATAGCAACAGTAATTCTCCACAATTTCCATCCATGAAGGCAAGCTATAATTCGATACCCTCTATCGATCATCAAATTGCAGACATAGAAAAACAGTTACACGAAGTTATGTCGAACTTGCCCATTGTGCCAGATATAGCTGGCATTGAATTAAAATGTTCGACGGAAAAAGTTCCTTGTACATGCAAAGTAATTGAGTTGTTTCCGCCTAGCAACGACGTGGAAGTGTCTGTTCAAGAGGAGCAGAGTGAAATGCAGACTGAAGTAACGGATGGCAAGAACTATATGCAAAATGTTTCGACGGATCAAATCGCAGAAAAGTTTGATAAACTACAAACAGCAACTGAGAATATAAATGTGCCTAAAGAAACTGGATCGAATCAGGTGTCAACGTCACCATCACTACCGCCTCCTGATCGTCCAAATTTGAAGAAATCTATATTTGACTTTGACTTCGAAGATGATGAGGATCCATTACATACATTAAAAGCGGAAGCGGCTGCAACAAAACAAAGAGAAAAGGAGCCAAGCAATAGCATTGAAGTTATAGATGTACTAGAAATAAATGCCCTTAATGTACACCAAATCGAACAGCAACAACATCAACCTCTTGAATTTAAAATATCCATTGCGCCGGTTTTAACTCAGTTTATGAAGGAGACACCCATGACAAAATTTCCTACGTATGAAGTTGAAGAAGACGCCCAATGTATCGCAAAGCAGCGTTTTCATCTACAAACGCAAAAAATCACCAAATTTCACATTGATGCCTTACATAATTGCTTCATACCGAACGTTAACGGTAACTGGGATGACACAAATAACAGGCTTGCACAGAGTAACGTTTTGGGTGTCTTTACTGGAGCTGGTGATGTGGAAAATGAGTACGCTGTAACGGATGGTTATAGTGTCGTTCCAAAATACGGTTCCCTAGTAATGGAGCGGATTTGCAAAGATTTAAGTCACATACAATTTTCTGAAAACTTTAAACCGACAGAGGATGCTTCGACTGGCGCAAAACATTTGTACATTTTGCCGTTTCTTGGTGTGGCTCGATCAGTACTAACCAAAGTCGTGAAAAGAAAACGGCACAGTCACAAAATTTGTCATAAAACAGAAGTTACTGCATTCAGCGCATGTGTATATGATAAAAAGGCCAGAGCAGCGTCAAAAATTAAGGCGAATAGGGAATTTGAACACTACAAGACTGACAAAGGTAATTTTGAATTCGGTCTCCAGATTAGAGATAACCAAATATCAACTGTGCAACAAGGTTCAATGTTTCATTTGGGAAAAACTCTGGATATTGAAGCTGATTCCGTTGTAAATAAAAATATTAATAGTGCCACCCTTAAAGATATAACTATCGATGTAATCGATCATGGTAGTCGCATATTCTTGACACAACCAAACGAACTAAGCGGCGAAGCCGGACAAAACCTTCTTGCGATTGCTGATCATTTGGATTATGGTTCGAAATTGACTTCACTTAGTCAAAATAACACTATAACTGATAGCAATAACGCAGGGTTTCAGAACAACGTAGAAGATCTACACCGAAGTAGTAATCCCGAAACTGATGAAAAGAAGAGTGGTTATGGATGTAAATCTATTAGCTCTCTATTTCCCGTAAAGCTATTAAGTGAATTTAATGAGAAAAATACAACTCAAGTTGAAAAATTGGATGAAAATGCTTCTAGTCGACAAAGCAGTAGTTGTAGCAGTTCAAGTTTAAGACAAGCTCAAAACTCAATAAACTTGAAATTAAAGCGTCAACTTCATGAACAGAAGCTATTAGATATAAGCGGAGAAGGAAATCATTTACGCCAAAAGAATAGTCTGTGGTTTCCACTAAATAAATTAAATGAAGAGAATAAGCAGCCAAAAGTAAAACGAATTAAAATAGCAGTTAATCGTAATATAGCGACAGAAATGCAAATATTAGCTGGTAGCAGTAATATCAGCATGGTTGAGAATAACAATGAAAAATGTATAGATAATGACAAATTTCACGAGGAAAATGAACATACGTCTAAGGGCTTTGTAGGACACGAAAATGTTGAATCAGTTAATAGTGTCGGCAGCCGCATTTCAATATGTAACAAACTTAATGAGCGAAGCACTGATGATGTTCGTATAAATTGTAGAGAAAACTGTAATGACAATCAAGAAGTCGACTATGGAGAAAATGATGTCAATGCAGATGTAGTTTTCGACGAATACGAAGATAGTGAAGACTATAGTAGCGATTATCATGAATTTGTTACACGAAATATATCAGTCCCTTCAACGGGTAGCAACCACATTGTACTAACAATCAAAAAGACTCCCAGTAAAACTAAATCTCCATCTAAATCTTTCTCTGCCATGTCTCCAGTTATCGCAAGCAATATTACAAGTAGTTCTCAGGCTGCAGGAATAGCAACAGTAATTTCCAAAACGTCATGTGCTCCAAATCTAAATTATGCCAATAAGGACATGTTAGTTGTAAGTAAAACAGAAGCCGGAGAAACAAAAGCTAATACAACAACAGCCGAATCTTTGGAGGAAATTAAAGAGGTGAAAAGAAATCATTCACAATCTGACATCTGGGATAACCATGCAAATATTAGCTCTACAAGTTTCTTGCAAAACGTTGAAACTATTTCAAGAATACAGTCCTTGCCATCTGGACAGCATGAAAATTTTATTTCAACATCTTACCGCCATTTGAAATTGCCTAAATACAAAAAATACCTGAAGCCAAACAAAAGACACAGAGGTAAAAATATAGAAAATGGGAATGGTAAATTTTCACATGTTAAACTTCACCATGAACTATTTTTTCCGCATGAGCTAGTTATAAGTGATTGTTATGGCAGTAAACGAAACATTCTAAATTTTAGCAGTTGTAGTTCAAGCTGTGGAGAGCAATATGAAGAAAACGAAGAATATGTTGGCATGAATCATATATCTGAAGAAGACTTTAATGACCGCACATTCTCCGAAGCCGTTGTAAATTCTGAAACTGATAATATTAATATATGTGGTATACAGCAACATTGGGATTCTGATTTATCGACATCACCTTGCTCCACATATTCTACTTGCTCTACATGTGATTCAAAGTCGAGTAATTATGTGCAAACAGAGTCATATAATTATAAAGGTTGTTTTGATCCAATTGTACAGTCTAGTGATTACAGTCTAGATACTAACGAGGAAATTTCTCATACGCTTGCTGACGACAACATGGCAAAAAGTATCAACGAAGAATTGCCTTTAGAAAACAATGGGCTTTTACATTCATTTAATAATATTTATACCAAAGTGGATAAGTTGGAGGCTAAAACTACTGATACAACCATACAAAATGACAATATTGTTGCGTTTATGGCAGGAAGTCATATGATATGCGATAATAAAACTGTTGACCCTGCTACCGTGGATGCAGAAAAGCAACAGGAGCAAATGCGACGAAATAAAAATTGTGATGATTATAATAACATTTATAATAATAATAAAAACAGTAATAACATTAATTTAATTAGATATTATATTAATGAGCCTAGTTTAATAACACAAGTTAATCGTAATGAACAAAGCGATATACATAATGAGGATGACCAACATGAGAAAGAAAGTCATTTAGACGTTGTAAATGTTTTTAATGCCAATACTGATGCTGATTTTTTTGATACATCGCTAAATATTGATAATTATGATAAAAATACAAATACCAGCAATGTTGACCGTACTCTTTTTATGGAACATAGTGCGAAGGCTGATCAGATTACTAACAGTAGCTATACAAACCGATCGGAAAAGCTCACTCAATCGTCCTTTTTCAAATCTCACTGCGTACACATGCTGTCACACAAAGAAAACCGTACAGGACTACGCGCTGTTGACGTAGATGTTAATGATGACGATGGTAATAACTGTGCTCGCATTCAGCAATTTAAAGTATGGCATCAAGTATTGCAGTTGCGTTCGTATAATGAAGAACTACTTACTGTACTACCGTACGTAGTTCTTGATTGAATTCACATGAAATTTGCAAGTCCTGTTTATATTCTTTTTTAAATTTTATTAAAACAGTAATGTGTATTGTAGATTTATGTTTTTGTTTTACAATCCTCGTTTGTTAAATATAATGAATGAGAATATAAAATAGAATTGCTAATAATTTAATACACGATAATAATCTATGTAATAATAACGAAACTGAAGCAAATATTTGTAAAAAATATGTAATAACAACATTTGCACTCCTTTGCAAGTAATAATAACTTTTTACGTCTTTAATATATAAAATTGTATAATTGGGTAGTGGATGGGGAATACGAATAATTCTTAGTCGAAGACTACGAACCGGTTCGTACTAAAACCAGATGCATTCGTTACTTGTGTTACAATTTTTTAATTGTAAAGAATTCAATCAACCACTATTTATTACTCAATAAATCTCTCTACACAACGACTTATACTTTACACTTAACCATTTTCACACAGTTTACTAACTATACACCTTTCTATAAACACATAGTTTAGTCCGTTGTACCTTATACCGATCTTGTCGAACCCAATTTACTTCGTCACTGATTTGCTTTGCATTGGTCGCTCTCCTATATAACTCATCAGTTGCTCGATTTCAATTCTAGATCTTTCTGGCATTCTCTAACGATATACAAAAATTCGACTTCCGCAGTCTTGAATGTGCTTCAGTTATTATGATAACTTTTAAAATAATAAGAAAAACAGTAATAATATTAATTTAATTAGATATTACATTAATGAGCCTTAGTAACACAAGTTAATCGTAATAAACAAAGCGACAATCACAGTGATAACCAACATCAGATATAAACTAATTTATACGTTGAAAACGTTTTTAGTGCCTAATGATGCAGCTGATTTATTGATGCATCACAAACCGATAGAAAAAGTTCACTCAATTGTCTTTTTTCAAATCTCACTGCGTACAAGTAACACAAAGGAAACCGTACAGGGCTATGCGCTGTTAACGATGGTAATAACTGTGCTTGCAATCAGCAATTTAAAGAATGGTATCAAGTATTGCAGTTGTGTTCGTATAATGAAGAACTACTCACTATACTACTCGTACGTGGTTCTTGATTGGCATCATCACATAAGTTTGCAAATCTTGTTTTTTAAATTTATTCAAAACAGTACGTTTTTGTTTTCTAATCCTCGTTTGTTCAATATAATAAATAAAAATCTACAATAGGATTGCAAATAATTTAATGCACGATAAAAATTTTTGCAATAATTACGAAACTGAAGGAAATATTTGTTATGAGTTCGTAATAACCAAATCTATACTACGAGTTATGCAGCATAATGCTTTGTTGTGCAAGCGGTTTCAGCTGTTATGTGAACGACCCACTCCCTCTGGTCCGGACCCGTCGAAACAGTTCGTTTCCTGGACGTTAGATGACCTCGATGATTTATACAAACAAGCATGTTCCTGAGCGAGTTTGATAAACCCCTACCGCAACAGCAATATTGGCGAAACCCTGACTGAGACGGAAAAAAATATCTGGATGTATATGCCATCATCAACTGCAAAGAATTACATGAAGAGTTATTGTCAAGAAGGACATGGAGTTGGTAGTCAAATACCAGCATTAGACCAGACAAGTATATTTGACAAGGACGGTAATAGACATCGCAGGATCAACGTTGTGAAACATTCTATTTTTACTGGTGAAGCTAGGCCAATTCGCCTTGCTCCTGGAAGTCTTCCACTAGCCAACCATGAAGCTGTGAGCCAAATAATGAAATAAATTAGCGCCTGTGGTATTATCGAACTATCGGCATGTCCTATCAGAAACTATACCTTCACCAAACATTTTCAATAAAGTTCTGCATGCTTCCGTAGCATTTATTCCTTGTTGAAATTCGTTATCGTTCGTCATGGGTATACTATAGACCAATGTGAATCAACTTTTTTATAGTTTATTTGCTACGTCGGTTAAGCGATAAAAATGCTGAGTCGAACATGTAATAAATATGCATGTGCTTACGTGGCGAAAATGATGTCATAGATTCGGACAGAACTTTCCGGTACACCTAATATATATATATATATATATATTATAGAATACATGGAAGTCCTCATTATATCATTTTAAATTAAAATACCCATATGAAACCTAGATAATAATGAAATATTGAATTACACTTGCCCATAAACAAATATACTTACCCACCATGAATTTACACCAAATTGAAATGCTCCCCAACAACTCTATTTCCCAAACTGCTTTTAGGCTCGATTTCACTATGTCCCGTTAACTTAACCTTTAACCGGAGGATCGCTAACCGTCAGATAGGCTGATGTGACATTTTCGTTTTCACCAAGTTACGGCTACTTAACTTCTGGTTAGCTTGTTAATTGTGAATATTTTAAGGTTAGTAAATTTTATTGTGTGGTTATGGGAAATAATTGTAAATTGTTTATTGGGGAAAAATGATTTTGATGGGTTTTAGTTCCATGTAATATATGTAAATGGTTTCCTTGCACGTCAGCTACGTTTTCGTCGGTATCAACGCATGTTTCTGCTGGTTCATTCGCTTGAACTTCTGCCTTATCCAAATATCTCTATGCAATTTCGAGTACGGATTTGATATTCATTGTAAAGACATTCAGCGCGAAGATTGGAATGTAAAAGTTGACAAATCATGTAGTTGCTGACAAACCGAAACCACCACCACTACTAAAAATAATTCTGTCATGTCCATAACGAGGTCACCTGCATATAAAGTCCATTACTTCCATTTTACAAGTACCTTTTTCTGCTTCGATAACTCGTCGAGCTATTTTCTTCTCCAGTTGATTGGATTCTGACATGAGTGCAATATAAACACCCCAACACTTTTGGAAACTTCGCTATTCGGTGAAATGAGCGCATTGTGTTCTCCATTTCCCATCTTTTTTCAGTTTGATACTATTTACTCCCCGACTAGCAGTCGCCACTTTTATTGCGCCCAACACCGGAACACAAATTTAAATTTCCTGATGCATAATACCTTTATATTAAAACCATAATTTCCTCTGCTTTACTAATGCAAAATCAAATAAAAAATATTCAACAAAATTTACTTACCCAAAGCACATTATTTTCTGAAACCTTTCGGTGCGGCTCCTAATTTCATTTTTCTTTTTTGCAAAAAGGTTTTTCGCAAAAAGGTTTTTTGCACAAGTTTTGGAAAGATGCAATATACGAATAAAAACTTCTTCATCATATTTCTCAAAAAAATTTTTTTGTGTACAGCACGTATGCTTCTGAACCAATAAAATTTATTTTAAAGCCAACACCGAAACACTATTTTATTTATTGTTTTACAATTCCCAGCAGTCAAATTATCTTCTGGTTAAGAGTTAACCGCCACTCAATGTTGGCGTTAAACTTAATTGACAAATGTACATTAACCGGACATTGTAAAAACGAATTTCATGATACCTTCCTATTGAGTTATGATTAAGTGCTTAGCCGGAAAAGGTGCAACGGCCCTAAAAGAATAAAATAATGTACATAAATACAATAGTAATGTTAGTTTAAAGTACATTTCGCTCGACGGTTGCGCGCTTAAAATAATATTAAAAAACCGTACCCATTGATAAAAGGAAGCACATAAATTACGTATATACATATATGTATAAACATATACAAAAGAGAAAGTGCGTACTGGTATTTCTTAATTATATAAAAAATACAGCAATTAGATGATATTTGTACATGGTGGCTCTTATCGAAAAGAAACGTAAAATACTAAAAAACAAAAATTAAATCAAAACAAAATTCAACGGGATCACTTTATTGTAAAAACATAGTGAGCAAAAGGTCACTTACTCGTAAAACGGGCGTTGAAAAAGTTTAAAAGTTAAGAGAGTGAGAGCTGCGTTAAAAAAAAAGCAAATAAGGGCAGCTTGTGCTAAGCAAAAAAAAAAAAAAACAAACAACCAAAAATAGAAAGTATAAACATTTGTTAATAAAGTATCTAAGAGGTGAAGTGGGCAAATATATTTCAAGTTCAAAAAGTATCGCGAATTTTCTGTTTTTTAAAAAATTATTTATTTATTCATGAATATCTATTTTGTCCCCTTCAAAGTAATCCCCATGAGATATTATACACTTGTGCCAACGGTTTTTCCAACCTTCGAAGCACTTCAAAAATCATTTTTTTTATCTTGTTCAGCTCCTCCTTCGATGCCGTCTTTATCTCGTCAATCGTAGCGTAACGTCGTCCTTTCATGGGACTCTTCAGTTTGGGGAACAAGAAAAAGTCACAGGGAGCCTGATCTGGGGAATACGGTGGCAGCGGCATCATTCGTGTGTTGTTTTTGGTAAAAAAGTCGCGCACAAGTAACGATGTGTGAGCAGAGGCGTTATCGTGGTGCAAAAGCCAATTTTTGTTCTACCACAAATCCGGGCGTTTCTGGCGGATTGCTTCGCGCAAATTGCGCATAACTTGCAGGTAATATTCCTTATTGACCGTTCAACCCTGTGGCAAGAACTCATGATGCACCACGCCCCTGCAATTAATTTTTTCGTCTGTTGTTGAAGTGCTCGGGCGTCCGGCACGTTCTTCGTCGTTCACATCTTCTCGACCTTCTGAGAACATTTTGTACCACCGATAAACGTTGCTTCGGTCCAAGGTAGCTTCTCCGTATGCCACAGTCAACATTCGGAATGCATCCGCGCAGTTAATTTCGTTTTTCACACAAAATTTGATACAGGTTCTTTGATCCATTTTTTTGAATAGGTAAAAATCGAAGACCATCCAACAATTAAGTGAAAATTCAAAATGGCCGAGATTGTCGGCATAAGTCACAGACATGAGTGCCAACATAATGCCACAAAAAAATCGAAATTCGATTATACGTAACCCGCGAAAATTCAAAATTCGCGATACTCTTTGAACACACCTTGTATTCCCCTTGCGGTGCTCGATTGTGCCCTTCGGGATTCTTGAAATGTAGTAGCCACTTCAACGCTGCATGATCCGTTCTAACTCGGAAATGTTGACCATACAGATATTTGTGGAAGTGTTTGATGCAATCCACCAAGGTTCTCTTCATGTCTCACAGTAGTTTCGCTCTGGTTTACCAATAGACCGGCTTTAGTAAGCAACTACCTTCTCCTGTCCATCAATCTCTTGCGAGAGTACACCTCCTACGGGTACGCTAGCATAGGTGCAGTACATAGCCGTTTTTTTTAATGCTTGGAAGGCCTCCTCTTCAGTTTTCCACTCGAATGATCTATTATTCCTTGTAAGCTCATGGAGACTATGAGAGACGCTGGCAAAATTCGGAACATATCGGCGATAACAAGTACACAGCCCAAGAAAGCTTCTCAATTCATGCAAATTCCTGGGTCTCGGCCAATCCTTCACTGCTTCTATT